TCTAAATTTATCTTAAATGTCTTGATCGTTCTTTTTTTTGACTATTTTTTCACATTTAGTACTTGTATATAGTTTATGTATTCCATTCTCAAAAAGTACTTTAAACTATATAAATAAGTTCCCTAGGCAATTGATTTACATCAACCAATGCAAAAAATAGAATTAAAAAAAAAAAATTATAAATTTAGATATTGCACGCTGCAAGACATTTTAGTTGTTTTCCATAGTGCGTGATCGTGTTTTTTTTTTTTTTTTTTTTTTTTTCACATATATATATACATCTATAATATGAACATTTAAATTTTAAGTTATATTTTTTGTGTTGAAAGTAAACACATTAAGATAATTTTTTTTAAAAATTCGATTTTTTTTTTAAGAATACATAATTTTATTATGGATTTGGAGCAAGTTCTTAAAAAAACAAGATTTCAACAAAAAAGAAACTGGCAGTGGACAGCTCGAGAAAAACTTTTTGTAATCGCTTATCTTAAACATGTTCTAGGTGCCACTGTTCATGGAACAGCAGACAAATTTAATATTCAACCAAAACAGATTTGGGAATGGCATAATAAAGAAGGAGAACTATTGCTAGCTCAACCTTATGTTAAACATTTAAATACTGGTGCATGGCCCACTTACCCTAATATTGAAACTGAGCTTGCTAAGTGGGTTCAAGACTTACGCAATGAGTTAAAGCCTGTAAGTCGAACCATGGTGCAAATAAAAGCAGCTTCTCTGGCAAAACTACCACAGTATTCTTCTGAATACCCAAATATTAATCAATTTAAATGGAGCAATAAGTGGCTTGATGGGTTTTTATAACATTATAATTTTAGTAATCGTCGTAGAACAACTGTTGCTCAAAAACTTCCTGAGGATCTAGAAGTACAACGGCAAAGTTTTTTAAGTTTTGTTCAATATCGCCGAATTCAGTATAATTACCTATTATCACTAATAGGTAATATGGATAAAACACCCCTTGCTTTCGATATGCCAAGCAATGTGACCATCGATAATATAGGAAATAAAACTATTGGCATTAGGACTTGTGGTCTTGAAAAATCATACTTTACTATTGTGCTTGCTTGCATGGCGGATGGTAAAAAATTACCGCCTATGATTATTTTTAAGCTAAAAAATATTCCACGCCTTGAATTTCCAATCGATATAATAATTAGAGCTAATGAAAAAGGTTGGATGAATGAAATGGAAATGAATTATTGGGTAAACACAGTTTGGAATAATTGTACACCATGTGCTAAAAACTCAAGATCTCTACTTGTAATAGATTTTTTTTTGGGTCACTTAGTTCCTTCTGTTAAAAATAATCTTTTTAACAAAAATACTAATATCGTGATAATTCCCAGAGGATTAACATCAAAAATTCAACCTCTTGATGTATTAGTTAATAAGTCTTTCAAAACAAAGGTTTTTTTTTTTTTTTTTATCTTTAGCAATGTTGCTAAAAGACATCATCGGCATCCATGTATACATCATTTATTTAATAGATTAGGTCTATATATAACAAATGGATGGCACAAGAGATCAAGCAGTTAACT